TAAAACAGGTGGAACTGTGAACTCAGCTGCATTATTTGACACAAGAGAATCCAAAGCTGTCATCCAAAAGCAGGCTCCATAAGGTTTACTGTCAATGGAACTGTTCAGGTTTGTTTTTAGAGGTAGGGATTTCTTTGTTTGTTTATTTTGGTGGGGGTTTTTATTTGTGTTTTGATGGTGTGTTTTTTTTTTTTTAATACAATATATTTAAAAGAAGACCAAGACTTCTGCCTTAGAGAATTTTTTAAGATGTTAGTTGCTGCAGAGTGTAGGCATTCATTATAAAGTTATGTATAATAACAGATCTTGTCCTGAATAGGCCCTGAAATCCCTACCTGAAATGAAATCCCTTTGGGACAGTTCTTTCTGTCTGCCTTGAAAAGGTCTCTTTCCATTTCTTCTCATGCTAGAGCTAGCTGAGACCTTCTCCTCTCTCTAAAAATACTGCAGTACCATCAAACTTAAAGAAATGAGAAATCATGAGTCAGATGCCAAAACAAAGATGGCTCTTGAAAATCATTATATGTTGACATTTTATTTTGAATTTGGTCTGTCTTTGAAATGTTTAAAATCCTTCAACTTCTTGAGTGAAGGAGAAGTCACAGTGTCCCTCTTCTATTAACTTATTGTGAGAAATTACTTTGAGCCTTTGATGCTACAGGATATTTTATCCTTCATGGCTGCCCCTCAAATGGCAAACCCACTCAGACTGAAAACTCCTTCCAGTCTTCCATCATTCCTCTAGGCAAGGAACCTACAGGAAAAACCCTCTGAATTGTTTGTTTCTTCTTTCAGTTTGCCTCAAAAAAAGAAAACAAACAGTCATGTCTGCTCACAGCGAGTGAAAAGGGAGTATTGGTGGAATTGAGAAATTTAGAATGTGGCATTTGGTCAATCCAAAAGGAAGATATGGGGGAAACAGAAGATTCCTAAGATTGAGGGAAGGTCTACAATAATAAAGAAATACATGTGTCATGCATAGGACATATGTGAATACTTGTTATGAACTGAGAAGAAAAGGTCATAGATTCCATTATAATGACTGGCTTCTTGAGTTTAGGAAAGTAATTTGCCTGATATGTTGCAATACCTATATTGATATTCCATTTCTAGATTTCACAGCAGTCTTCCCTAGATAGGACTTCAGAGAAATGGATTTAATAGGCTGCCTGTCAATGACAAAATTTTGGATGTCTGTCACGGTTAAAAGGGGCAGAAAAGAAGAATTTTCTTTCCAACCTGTATTAATTTATTTTTTGTCTATCAGTGTCCCCGCTCCAGGAGATCAAAGCCTTTTATTGTCCAAAAAGTTCTGTTAGCATCTCACCTAATGAGACCCTTCACTTAAAAGATTTGCTGAGATGGACAGGACACTTGGTACCTTTTATATATAGGGACTGCACTTAGTAGCAGTAGAAAAACCCCTCAGCAGGTTTCTCCTATGAGTTATTTCACCGCTGATGAAACTGTCGGCACCTAAAAATGTACTCACTCTAACAGTTCATGAAGTAACAAGTTCATTAATGCAAATTTGTGACAATTTCTTCATTTTAATCCCTTTATAAGTTTCTGGGAATTTCTCCCCAAGTGCTGGGGTTTTCCAGGAAGCCATCAGGAGGGTTTTTTTCTTCTTTTGTGTGGCTTTATCTATCACCTTACAATGTTAATAAGCAGGGGTAATTCTTACTATCCAGGCAATGAAATTCTCTTCAAGGCTCTCGTGTATCATTCCAACTTTGGGATACACTGTATTGAACTAGACTGGGCTTTCCATACATTGTTGGTTGGACATCAGTGTCAGGTGTTTCATCTTTACAAAGCAAACGTGTGCAAATCAGAAAACAACCAATATAAGGTTGGAAATGATGACAGTAAGAGCTAAGTCTCTTCATGTAGCCCTATCAAAAATGAAATTACTTTTATAGTTTCTTCTTTATTTCTCTCCAGTAAATTCTACTGCTTTTGTACAAAAAGTAATGTAAAATCATTTGCTGTGTCTAAGACTTCATAGGCATTAGGAAAAGCATTGCAAAAAGCCTGAGAGAGGTGAACCTTCCCATCCATTCAGCCACATGGTGAAGCCACATCTGGAGGGCCAATTCTAATTTGTGGCTTCCTGGCACAAGAAAGTCATGGACATAGAGCAGCAGGTCAAATAAAGGGCAGTGAAATTGTTTAGGGATTGGAACATGTCATATGAAGAAAGGCTGAGAGACAGAACTAGTTAGCCTAGAGAACAGAAGGCTCAGACAGATCTTATAGATGTGAATAAATATCTGATGGGAAGGTGTAAGCAAGATTAAGTCAGGCTCTTTTCAGTGGTGCCAGTGATGGAGCAAGAGGCAATGGGCAGAAACTGAAATACAGGGGGTCTTTTCTGAACATGAGAAAACACTTTTTGACTGTGCAGATGACTGAGCATTGGCATAGGTTGCCTAGAGAGGCTGTGGAGTTCCCATCCGTGGAGAGACTCAAAGCCATCTGGATGCAGTCCTGAGCAACCTGCTCTAGCTGACCCTGTTTGACCAGGGAGGATGGACCAGATGTCCTCCAGGGGTCCCTTCCAACCTGAATGACTCTGTGATTATGTGTTTTTCAGCGAAACAGTTTGGGTCACAATATTGGCTTGGCTCAAGTCCACACTCCAATTTCTGTCGTTTTTCTTCACCCTTATTCCACAAGAGCTTTCAGCTTTCCCTTTTAAGTTATAAGAAACTGTATATAAAAGTTATAAGAAGCTATATGTAAAATCTTATATTCTTTGCATTCATTTCTTATTTTACACAGAGCAGTAAGAACTTACGTGCTTGACCCAGTATAAAGTAAGTAACACAAATACAGAACAGATATAAATGACTGTACGTAAATAATAAGCAGAAAGGTGAGTGGGTGACTTAACCTCATGTAATATTTTCTTTATCAAATTATCTTGGAGACACTTGGAACTTATGGTCTTAGACCTTTTACATTTTGTTTAGTTTGGGCTTAAATCTGCAACTCTTGAATACTAAGGCCACTGCTCTAGTGAATTAATACTTGCAGTTACTTGAGCTACATCTTTTACCAGGCATACACAGGCCCACCCAAATTACCTGAAGAATTGAGTGTGGACTACCTAGAGATAGCTGTAACAACATAATCATGGTGTCTAGTATTAACATTCCAGTCATGTAATGTTTTAGTTGTTTCTGATGCTAAGCATATGGTGGTACTTCACCTTCTTCTCATCATCTTATTTTTTTCAGTCCTGCTTCCTTCAGTTTTGAAGCAGCTGCCTGTTGGTAAAGAATGGATAAATTCTTTAGTACCAGGCTGTTACACGAAGGCTATCTTCCCTTTTGGTCACAGATGGTGGGAAGTGATTTTATTGATTTGTTAGTACTTAGCTAGAAGGATTACATCTAGCAGTAATAATGTGGCCAGGCCCTGGGACAAATCACCTCACGAGTTAGCAAAGTGTTTGTGTCTTTAACTGAGTGTGACATTATTATATTTACCAGCCTTTCATAGTACTTTGCTTATTAACACTACTTTAATCTCTTCTGAGCCATCTGTTGGTCATTCAAGTTTCTGTTTCCTTCATGTGCTAGAAGAGTTGGGAGACTTCAGTTTCTGAGCTGAACTCGGACATTATCATGCAGAAGTTCTGGTGGTAATAGTAGTGCTTATTATGTTTTTTTTTTTCTTTTTAATTCATATTATCAAGTTGTGCCCTGCAGAAAATCTCTTGGGGGAACACAGGCAGATGGCCACAGTAATTCCTCTCAAATTCGAAGGGTCATGAAGGTTCATGGCTCTCAGAATTTGTGTGAGAGGTATTAGTGTGGCTGGCTGAAAGCTGGTCACTCTCCCTGTTTCAAACCTGGCAAGTTTGGCAGCAAGAAGAATTGAACACTGCCATTACAGACTTTTTTATCTTTGGGTTGTGCCCATCAGATTATTTCTTTAGAAACCAGAGCTGTTTCCATGCTGTGATCTCAGCAGAAGTGCAACTGAGACGTCGTGTTAGCGTGCGTTAATGGTAGTTCACATTTTTTTTTGAAAGTGCAGTTTTCTCTGTATTTTAGCTTTGCAATTCTAAGTAGCCTGAATGACTTCATTCTCTGACAGGCATATGTGAGAGCAGGGAACCCCTCAGAGCTATAGGCATGAGCTCCTGGCCAGTGGATTACATGCAGATCATCTCCTGTAGAGAAGGACTGTCACATTACTGGATCCCAAAAAAGAAGTTGCTCAAAGGTGGTAGGTCAGGAATTGATATGAAAGTGATCTATGTCTGGACATGATGTTTTGTTTCATTGTGTTCTATCCCCTCAGTTGAGCGATTAGCACCGTGACGTGTTTCTTGGCCGGTTTTGGTGGGTCACAGTAGTTAAAGAAAGGGTCTGATAGTTAAGATGTGTGAGGACCACGGCATTGGGGACCACAGCATTAGGGACCACTAACGGGGCGTAAGAAGTGTATGAAGGAAAATGTAGAAGTGTGGGACCCTCAGGAAGGGGCGGTCGAGTGGTGACAGCCCTATCTTATGGCAAGGGGGCTGCAGCTAGGGCGAGCACGGCTCACGCCCGAGGGAGCACCCAAGGCTTCGCGGCGCCTCTGGCAGCCCTGTAGCAAGCCCGCACCCTCCCGCGGGTGGCTCTGCCTCGGGCGAGCCGGCAGCCCTGGCAGGAACCCGGGCGAGCACCTGCGGTGAGGAAGCCTCGAGGAGGACGTGAGGAGGACGGCGGTGCCGGGGCCCACGCCCGTGCGGCCGCGGGACGAGCCCGGGGGTCGGCGGGGAGAGGCGCGGCCGGCCCGGGTGCCCGGCGCGGGCAGGGGCAGCGGCGCCGCGCCTCGGACTCCGCCTCACCGGCACCGAGCTCCCCCTCTCTGCCTCACTCGCTCCCTCCCTCCTCCAGCGCCAGGCTCGCAGCGGCGGAGCATCTCGGCGGCGGCAGCAGCAGCAGCAGCACCCGCCCTTCCCGGCCGGCCGGCGGCGCGCACCGCCCCCCCGCTCCCGCACGCACCCGCCGGCGGCGAGCCGAAGCCCTCCGCGCCACCGCACCCCCGCCCCGCACGCCCACCGCCAGGAGGATGGGCTGCGGGCGGCGGCGCGGCAGCCCCTGAGCTCCCCAAAGCCACGGAAACAAAGGGAGCGAGCAGCGGCAGCACCGGGCCGGGGTGGATGCAAGCAACCATGAAAGGCTGGGTCTCCGCCTCCTCCGCTGCTGCCAGAGAGCTGCCGGCTGCCGCTGCTCGGAGGACTACCCTGTGAAGGCGGCGGAGGAGAGGCTGGCTGGGTTCGCCGTGCAAAGGTAGAAGGTGTAAGGGAGAGGAGGAAAGAAAATGTCTTCTTCGGTGGGGCCCCGCGGCCCTCGCCCGCCCACGGTGCCCCCGCCGATGCAGGAGCTGCCCGACCTAAGCCACCTGACAGAGGAGGAGAGGAACATCATCATGGCAGTGATGGACCGGCAGAAAGAGGAGGAAGAAAAAGAAGAGGCCATGCTCAAGTAAGCAGACGCCAGTCATTCATTCATTCAGGCACTCATTCATGCGCCGATCGCCGGCGGGCGGAGCGGGCGCTGCCACAGCGGGAGCCGCCCGGTGCCCGGAGCCGGCCGGCTTCGCCCTGCTCGGCGGGGCTGGCGCCGCGGAGCCCCGGTACCGTTCCGCTCCCGGCCCGTAACTTCCTCCTCCCCCACCCCGGGCAGCTCCTCCCGAAGCGGCACCGCCGGAGAAGCCCGGCACGGCGGGACGGAGCGGGACGGCGGCCCCGAGGGAGCCGACGGTGCAAGGCGGGCGGAAACCCCGACATGGGGATGAGGGGCGAGGTGGGATTCCTTTGGGGTCCCCAAAACCCCGCCTCTGCCAGGAGGGGCCGCTGGGTGGGGTTTCCCTCCGTGCGGGAGCCTCCGTGGCTGCCGTGCTGCCCCCGCCTGGCTCGGCCCCCTCTGCCGCCCGCCGCGGGGCTGGGGCGGCTGCCCCCGGCTGCTGCCCGGCACACCCCCCGTGTCCCCCGCGCCGTGCCGGGCCGGGCCGTGCTGTGCTGTGCCGTGCCGCCGGCCCCGGCCCGCCCGCTGCCTGCTCCAGCGGGGGCAGCGGCGGGAAGCAGCGCGCCGTGGGGCAGCAGGGTGTTCGTAATTAGGAAATAGATGGAATTAGTCGCACTGCTTATTCCAGCGGGGAGGCAGGCAGGCGGGCGTGCGTGGTGGCGGGACGGCGGGGGAGTGGGTTTATCTCGCTGACGGCGGCACGGGGAGGGGTGCGGGGAGCGCGGGGTGTGGGTAGGTGCCATGTTTGGAAACCAGATCCCCACTACCTCTTTTGAACCTTTTCTCTCTCGCCCCCTCGTCCCTGCCAAATAGTGCGTGTGACCACATTTTCTATCCTCCTCCGTCAATCGGAGGTTTCAAACGTAACGTTACTGAATCGCCTGCTTCGAACAATGACAATAAACAGATTGGAGCTGTGGCCTGTGCAGGAGAATCAGGGTTTCTCCTCTTCTGACTGCCCATCAGGCCTGTTCGCTCTGGGGGGGGAAGCAGTGGGAGAGGTGACTGGCACAGTGAGAGCCTCTGACGCCACCCAGACCTTCCTTGCCACAGGATCCTTACCTCACTGCCGCCAGATTGCGTACACCTGTGCTTGGAAGGGATGCGCTGAAGGTGTGACGTGATCCGGGTGTTTCTTTTGGCTGCATCGGAAATACCCACTTGAGCGATGCAGGTGCCAACTCTTCCCCACGGCTTTCTCCGCCCGATGGAAAGACCAAATGCCTTCAGGCTCCCAACTTTGGCCCCGTGCACTGTGCGTGGTGAAGCTGGGAGAGCCTTTTAGTATATTGCTGTCCTTGTCCCTTCCTATACATGCTTGACTCTGAATTTTCAAGGGGCTACTTGGTTGCAATGAGTACTGAGGCCCAGCTGCTAGTGTTGTGTTATTGGCGAGGAGCTGTCCGGGAGTGTGGTGCTTGGATCTCAGTACAAGAAGACTTCAGTTTTCTGTTGCAGTTCATTGTGCTTGGGGTGTGGCAAGCCTTGGAAGTGGGGTGATTGGAATGCAAAATGTTTTATGAAAAGGCATTTTTTAGTAGGTGTGGGGAAATGTAAGTGAAGGATTCCTTCTCAGTTTCTATTTACCAGAAGAAAATTAAATAAAGCTCAGAGGCTCTAAACTACATGTATCCTTGCATTCCTTGTCCTCCAGCACAGCCACTTCTCTATAAATGTTTAACTTTTATTCAGTGAAGAAGATTACTGATGGTATTGTAGAGGAATACTATAAATCTTACAGTCACTGCAAGAATTGACTTCTGTTGGTAGAGATGGTATTTTCTCAGCCCTATTCTTATTAATATTGGGTGGAGGGTAAATTTTCCTCCTTTTTTTCACCTCCCTTCTGCTTTTCTTCTGCTCTTCTTTTGCATTGGTACTTCTGAATTCTGTACTGGTAGTTCCTCTTCTGCAAAATTATTTGAATCCTCAGCAGTTTTACTAAATGAATTTAGGACACTTTAAATATAAGTTTTAGAAGAGATCAAAAACTGTGCTGTGAATTCAACTTGAAATTACTTTATATTATGTTCAGATATTTTTGATACCCAAACTTAAAAGTTTATTTCCCTACAGAAGTTCTTTCAAATCATGAGAGTAACAGTCTAGGGTCTCCACTGGCCTGAGAAATTGTGATTTTAAATAGATTTATAGATTTCAGTATTTTTTTAAAGAGCCAGAAATTAAGAGAAAATACATTGGAACACTTACAGACGTATACTCACTTTAGCTATATAATTAGGTTTAAAAAAATCAGGTCACAGCAGATAGTTTTCTTATGGGTTATGATTCGACTCTTACAGAGGACCACTAGATTTTCTGAGATAATTTGGTTTTTCTGTATGTTGAACATTTCCTTCCTTTTTGGGATAAGGGTTTGACACACCTTTACAGAGAGTAACTCTCTCAAGACTGGAATATCGACAAGAGTTTACTGCCATAATTTTATAAAGGTTTGTTGCAAATACACAACGGTGCTATCAGATGACACAGCCATATTATAAAAGTCAGATATTGTTACCATCTCTGTTATCTTCATTAAAAGGTTTTCTATTATTCAAATATCTCAACAAAAGTGCCACTAGTTTTCATTTAAAACCACCTGATGGAGAAATGTTTCCATCTGTAACACCCACATGCAAATCTGTAATTTTCTCTGAAAGTGAAGCTGAGAATCGGTGCTGCAAACTAGGCTACCTTCAATCCTGGGCTGATCAGAGGCCGGATATGTGCTGTCTCATGAATCATAAGGGCTAAAAAGGGTGCAGCATTTCTCTCCTGTTCTGGATGTCCTGGTAGCAATGAAAGTTTCTAAAACAGTACTTGTAATTTTCCTTTCAAGCACTCCTCACAGGACAAAACTTGAGGAAGAATTATTGGTTAAACAACTGTATTCTTCACGTGGTCATCATAAAATTGTGGATCTGGGGGAATTTGAAGTGTTTCTGTGAGCAAACTGCATGAATTTCAGAAGAAGTGTAGGCAATTAGGGTCATCAGTAAAGAGGCTGTGTCCCTCTCCTCTGAGTCTGTACCTCTCAGTCTTCCTGATCCCTGTTTCTGTTTCTGAGCTAAAAGCCTTGTAAACGCTCTCTGCCAGTTCATGCTGACATCAGCACGTACTGCAGTGTGCCAGCCTGCGAACAGGGCGCTGTTACAGGGAACAGGACTATGGACAGCGAACTGCTTTAACTGCTTGTGCGGGAGAATGATGGAAGTGCAATGCTTCCGTTTGAGACCACCTGCTCATCACTTTCCAGGAACTCCCCTATCTGTCAGTTTGTTGGCCTGCTGAGTTTCCTTCAGCAGTCTGGGGTTAACAGACCTTGTCACCCCCTTAGGATAATTCATACAACTTATACTGACTAGTATGACTTCCTTTTTCTAGGTATACCTGGTCAGTGGCAGAGACCTCATCTTCCCTCCACCCTCCTGATATCAGATTTCACACTGCTGTGTGTGTGTTTGTGGAAGGGGAATGCTCTTCTATCCTATGACCTGTTGAATACCTTGGAACAATGAGTTGAGGAGTCTGGGCTTTTGTGAAGTTTCCTTCTTTTGCTTCTTTTATGAACAAGTGTACCTTGGCTTGAGGATCACTTGTAATGTTAGCTGATTGCCTTGAAATTGCCTTCACTTCTGAAAACATGTCCTGCATTCCTTCTGTAATAGGGGCAGTGCCACTAGGTACTCCTGAGACCATATCCATGCCTTCATGCAGTGAAGTGCAGTCCCAGTATGGCACTCAAGACTCAAATCCACATAAGCACTTCAGTGCTTGCCTGACACTAAGTACAAACTGAGGACCCTTGAAAGCAGTCCATGATATCTTTCCATAATGGTGCACTTGTTCCTCTGTGTCCAAGGCATATAACACCAGAGCATGTGAGTGCCTTGGCTGCTGAATTGCTTGCAGTCTGTCTTACAGCTAAACTTGTCAGGGAGTCGCAACTACGTAGTCGTCTGCCTAAGTTCTCTGAAAGACCTGACATGACCTCTGCATTGCGAATCGATGCTCAGTGTGGAACTCAAAGTGCTTCTGTCACAGCAATGGCCACTTTCCTAACATGGAGGGGACAGGCAGTGTTACTGCTTCCAGCCACCTTAGGCTGATAATCTGGTGGTTAGGAAGTGATTATCTGTGCCCAGTACACTTATCAACTTGAAGAAGTTGTGTCCTAGACAAGTGCCATTGCATTATAATTTTGTGGAAACAGTTTGGCTTCCCAAAGCGTGTGGGCCCAGGTGCCTAACTAAATGTCAAGCCCAATAGGGAGAGCTCTCCTTGAAGAGGAGCTGCCTTGCTCTCCTTCTGAATGCTTCTGGTTACACAGGGCTATTAATGGAGCCTTTTTTAAAAGAGTTAGAGAAATTTAAAAAGTCCGGGAGTAGGAAGCAAGTCCCCCATCTCATCTTGGGGCTTCAGCACTTTGTGGTTTGTTCCTCTGTGGTTGGGAGAGCATTGCCTTCCTCCATGCCACGCCTTTGATAACAGCATGGAGAGCAGTCTGTTGAGTAGATGGGGCTTTACCATAGTAGACTCAGTTCTCATCCACTCTTGTTTTCCTGTTTCAGACTGACTGTAAGATTTTGTGCTTATCTCTGAAGACTATAGTCTCTATCAGCTCTTTTAATTGGAACTAGGCCTTGAACACCCAAGCTTCCGCTGTTCCTGTATGAGTAAATGTTCACATAGGACAGTAATAAAATGTGCCATGGCCTCCTCTGCAGACTAATTCACATCGGAGGCATTTTTTGCTGTTTTACTTGGTAGATACTCCTGTAGCTGGAAGGGAAGAAGTTCATGTTGAGTGGCTGATGTCTAGCCTGAAGTCCAGATGTTGCCCAACAGGTGACTGATGTGACTAAAAATTTTTGAAGAAACATGAGAGGGTAAGTTTCAATGAGACGGAAGAGAAACAAACCATCATTTGCAAAAATGGGGTGGGGGGAGGAAAT